AGGTTGTAAGCACAGTGGCACTATTAAAGGTGGAAATCTTGTCATCATTTAATCACCCTCATGTCGTTCTAAACCCGTGTAAGTTTCTTTCTTATGTTGAACACCAAAGAAGATATTTTGAAGAATTTTGAAACGCCAAACAGTTGTTAGTCCCCATTGACTTAGGAAAAGAAATGCTCAAAAAAATCAATTTCCATCAATTACCAGCATTCTTCAAAATATCTGAATATTTATGTTTAACATAAGAAAGAAACGTATACAGGTTTGGAACGACATGAGGGTGAGTAAATGATGGAAAAAATTTTCATTTGTGGGTGAACTACTCCTTTAAAACTTTGTTTTGATACTGACAAGCCAGACATAGCAACACTATCTCAACCAATAGTGTGAGTTTTGGGGCGGAGCTATGGGACTATGTGTCCAACCAATGGCAGATGGGGCAGTGTCCAGAAAACCTTGTTTTTGCAGTTCCATTTGGTGATGCAAGAGATGCAGAAATTGAAAACTTCACCTTTAAGAGATAATATTTTCAAATAAACTACTTATATTTATGGAGAAAACATTGCCATGGTACCTTTTTGACTTGAAGGCCCCCACATAAACTATAATTTGGATTGTGCAGGGACAGGACGTGGTTACTTGCTAGTCCAAGTCAGAAAGGCCTCTCAAGTCTCTATAATTCTGGATTTTTCTCTCTCTCTACATTCAGATGCTTAGAAAAGTAGCGGAACACTGTCCTCAAAAGCCTGCACAACTTCAGGAGTCATCCATGTCCTTAGCACAAACTGTGCTGGACAAGTTATGTGCAGAATTGAAATACATAAGGTCAGGAGTTTTTGAAAAACCTCAGCAAGTGCCACTAATTAGGAAACCTTGGAGTGTATATAAAGGCACATTGCTTTTTTAGAGTGTTTAACGTTTAAGATAAGGTTTTACTTTAATTTGGATGTTACTTTAGATTAACAGAAAACATTTTCCCACACAGAGGCCATTTTTATCGAAAAAAATGCAACATCATTTGAGGAACTGGCCATTTATCACATTGGTGAAGTATATGCTTTGATTTATGTGTTGTTTTGGCTGCCTACATGCCTGCCTTATCTTTGCTCTCAGTAAACACTATAATTACCTTCATACTTCACAGTATACAGAGAAAACAATATGGAAGAAGCTCAACTCATAAGGAGCGTTATCTTATTTCAGGTGCAGAAACTGGCCTAGCACATGGCACGGCATCTGAACCTTCCCATCTGTTATTGAATGAATTATATAAAGATATTACATGCAGAATCATTACAGAAGACCAAACACAATTGTATCCTGCATGTACAGTGGGTACGGAAAGTATTCAGACCCCCTTAAATTTTTCACTCTTTGTTATATTGCAGCCATTTGGCTATGAGAATGTCATACTGTGTTAGTCGAGACTTGGGCAATTACAGTAAATAGAAGTGTAATAAGCCTTACAAATATGGCACTGTTTTCTTTTTCACTTCTGAAACCCTTACCATCCTTGCACTGAGGGCAGCATTTCCCTTTCTGATAGACTGGGTTAACACATGGTGGAGGGGCACAGTCTGCGACCTGACAGCGGGCGATGCCGTCGCTGTGACAGGTGCACTGCTCACACGCTGACGGCTGTAAATCAAATGCAAAACATCAGTTGAAAATAGGTTATCATATGATGCAATTCCACCAAAACACATGTATTACTCTATTCCTTTGAACGGCTTTTTAAACAGAACCAGCGGGACTATCAAATTGCCAGCTTGTATATACCGACAATTTTTGTTGTGCCAATCCAGCACTGCATTTTAATGCCCTACAATGTGAAGAATGTGATCAAATTCTACTCCCACACTGCTGTTTAAGTAGGTGCCACATTACCACCTGTGGCTCAGTACTGGAGGTTGGGTTAAATGGACTGGATGAAAATGATGTCAGCTCAGGCAAAGTGTATTCCTTGGAGTCTGTCAGAAGGCTTCAATTTTCCCCTCAGGGGTTCCCCATTAGCCATAATAACCAAATCAGGGAGATAATGAAGCACATATAAGCCCTGCTTCTTTCAAGCCTGTGCCACCAGAGATATTTCATTCTTCGGTTCCTCAACCAGAGTATTAAATTGCTCTTTATGATTTCAGCCCAGTGTACATCAGATTTGTGCTTCACCTTGCCTCAGAACAAAATAATCTGACTGTATTAGCTTTTAACTTACACAGTGCATAACTATGTTCATGAAAGGGTATGGAAGGTATTTGATCATATTAAACAATTATGCTACAGAAGCAAGAGCTGCTTTTGTTCCAGCTCATCAAAAAGGTACATTCAACCTATAATTGGAATCTAAGTCTTTATGTATCATTGATGTAGCCTATCTTATTTGTTTGCTTACCATGATAAAGTTTTTGTTATGGTATGTTTGAACCATTTGAAATGATTGTCCCCCAATTTGCAAGTAATAAACAGTCAACAACTTGACAAGTTAAGACTAGTTTTGCTGTATTACTCGATACCCGTTCCTAGAGCTATTTTGAATCGTTTTCATGAACTTTTGAAATGCATGACATGCTTTTCTGTATTCAGAGTTTGGTTAATGCATTAGCAAACAGCATTGGTTTGTGAGCTGTTAAGAAGCATTTCATTAGTTGGACCCCAGGAGCTGGACCTATTGCACCAAAACACCTTTTCACTAAACAAAGTGCTGTTTTGAATATGAACGAGAGTCAGTTGAGACTCCAAATTTGCATGCCTACAGATTTGCTCAGCAGATCCTTGTTTATGAAGATACAAGCATAAAGGATAATAAGGCCTATTTTGGTTGATTCAGTGTTTTAACGAATCGGTTCAGTGAACTATTTAATGACACTCTCACTCATTACACAAGCACGTGTTGCCACCTACTGGCATTAATATGTAACCTGCCCAAAAATGTAGAAAATCTCCACCACTAATGGAGACGTAATTCATTTTAACATCGACCACGTGATGGCGCTGAATATATTGAATTGTTCTTTTGGGACCAATACCAAAACTTTGAAACAATGTGACCACCTAGGCAAAACATGACACAAACCTTGAAAAGAAAAAAGGGCATGTTCACTCATCTTTTAATCAGTTATTGCGAATAGAAATACGTATACATAACATTAAGCTATTCTCTGAATAAATAGTTTTATTTTGTCATTGTTATGTCAAATTTCACATCAACATTAATGTATTACAAGTGTTTAAACTGCAAGCAAATGGGTTCAATTATTTAGGAGAGCAATTAAAACGACAAATATAAAGCCAGAGAGCATTCAGACCTAATGCCCAGTTTTACAGACACGTGGGACTTTACCTGAAATTGTTGGCCCAGTTCGTAGACTTCTCCGCCGTACTCGCATCCGATCTTCTCGCACCTCGGGCAGCAGTCTGTCGGGTAATGGCTGACATGGATGCAGGCGGCAGGCAGGGATGTGCACTCGGTCCGCGCGCAAGCAGACCCTTCTGCTGTACATTCGCACTGGGTACAATGATCCGAGTCTAAAAAGTACCATTCGCCCACATAATAAACACTACCGTTCGCCTCACAGATCGTCTCCTGTTGTCCAGTGACCGAAAAAGCCAAAGCACACTCGCCGCAGATCACCAGGGTAAGCCAGCCATGAAGAAAACTCACCGGGGAACCCCAGAGTACAGCCATGCCCATCACCAAAACCTCCTCAGTCCCAAACCAAGACTTGCAAATGCAGCATAAATAAGAAAGACTTGTTATCTTTAAAAACGTTCTATTGCACGCGTCTATTTAACTAAACTACATAAAGTTTAAAAATCCTTTCATGGTCAGAATGGGCTGTGTGCGCTTTGGAGGCTGTTGCGCACAGGGAAAGTTTTACGCCTCCTGGGTTATGTTTCCATTTACACGTGACAGCCGAATTCCAGAATATTGATAGGGTGTAGTTTTATGAGGCATTCGCTTTTATTGCAGCTTTGTGTGTCTATTGAGAAAGAAAGAAAAAAAAGTGTAAATCCATAATATGCCATTTAACACTGTTCATTGTTCCATTCTTTTTTTTTTATTAGACAGAGAAATAACATTCTGACCACCGTGTTCCAGAAACACCAAATATATGCTTTATTTCTTTAATGGTAATAAATAAAAAGGAAAAAGAGAAAAAAAGAATAATCACGTCAATCGCAATGGACGTGTGTAAAACTTGTATAGTAAAACTTTTTCAAGTTAATGAAAAACCCTTGTACATTCAGGCATAAAGCTCCAACAAATATTACATTTCAATAGAATTCAATCACTGGGGGGGGAATAAGTGGCGTGTATTTGTAATGTAGTAGAGGGGGTCTGAATGGGTTCATTAAGATCACCATCACGGGTGCTGCAGCCAATCATTTGAGTGCGCGAGCTCGTCTCCATAGGAACAGGAATGTTTACGCTGATACAGGAAGCTACGATTGTTTGGGTGAGAATCCGCCTGTGGTGAATATGCTTGTTCTAAAACTACTGTATATGCTTGCGCAAATGTATGCCATCTTAAATCTTACTCAAATCACCTTGTTTCATCGTCCTAATGGTTTAAAGCATCCAAATATTTGTTAAACGTTTTATTGCTAATGTTCTTTAATCAGGTCATACTTGTTTACGAATTATATTTATTTATCATGCTCTTTCCCTTCGTATCAGAGCATTTGAATACTGTATGAGTTTTTTAACGTATGTAGGACTATATTTATTTATATTATGTATATGGTTACACTTCATTTTAAGGTGTCCTTGTTACAGTGTAATTATACATTTAAGTACTGAGTAATATTATTTAACTAGGCCTATATGTAGGCTACTTACTATATGCTTACGGTTAGGATTAGGGCTTGGTTTAGGGTTACTTGCATGTAATTATGCATAATTTATTGTTTTTAGAATAACTTAGTTAGTACATGTAACATGCGTAACAAGAACACCTTAAAATAAAGTGTTATCATGTATTTATTTCCAGCTAGGTTCCCTCCAGTATGGACAAACCGAATGCACGCCAGTGATGAGCTTTTGTGCTCAGCTCTGGAAATAGAGGCCTCATGGACAATTTCCAACGCCAACAATCTGTGTGGAATTTAGTGAAGGACAATGTTCCCTCGTCTGAGCTTCCTGAGATCCGAGCTGTACTGGGAGAAACACTGATTGATACGTACGCAGAGTTATATTCAGAGGTAAGTAAGTCATATTTATGCATCAGACTGTCTGGCAAGACTAAACAAGTACTTGCTGAAAGTACATATATGGTAGGCATACAATTAAAAAAATAACTGCAAGGTCCAAACTACATAATTCATGTCATCTCCTTTTGATGTTTAATACAGTCCCTATATTTGCCTTTTGAAAGGCAAGTGGAAACATCCCTGGAGGTGGTGACTGCATATTTTTATTTATTTAAGTTAGATTAGAGTTTGGCTTTTTTAATCTTTTAAACATTTGTGCTTTGTAAGTCTATACTTTTTTTTTAGATAATGTTAGGCCCATACAGTTTTGTGCTCTGCATTCATATGCATTTGTGTTTTATAATTTTATGCACTGAATTAGAAAAAGTCTCCATGAGCAAGTAAGCTAGTATGCACTGATGTGTAACTTTAAACCGGTTTTGAATTACAGCTCCCAAGAGTGCATTATCTCGCAGATCCTAAGTGCATGGAATGCAAACCTTACTTGTTTCAGATCCGACTCTTTCGAAGATAAATGTTCTTTTACAAACTGCATAGGCTCTCACTATATGCACACAGCGATATGTGCATATGGAAATAGTGGGTGGAAACTTGTCTTTGAAAGACGTATGTGATTCCTCCTTCCTCTAAACACTAAATAGGATTTATGACCATCTGTTTAAAACCCCCTCTGCTGTTCATATGGACACACCAGATAAGGACTTCTGAATGTGTGTTGAAGCTAAACAAATCAACACAAATAATAATAATAATAGTGATCATGATAATGAATTGTCTGAGCAAATGCAACCAAGGGTTTCGTACCTTGTCAGTAATTCTGGCGGTAAAAATATACAGTTTTTATATTTTTCTCAGTGCAACCTTTTTTGAATTCTAGTAATGTTTATAACAAATATGATGCAAATAAAGAACAAAACTAAGAATCTTGTTTCTCTGTCAGTTTTCCTCCCTCCCTGTCTCTCTTTTGCCTCAGAGCTTATCCCTGAGAACATTTATTCAATAAAAATATGCAAGTGAATAAACAAGAAAAGAAAAAATTTTCTTTTGTATCAAAGTTTGCATTAGCTCACCTACGTTTTTAAGCCTGCATCCTCACAGAAATGTTTCTCTGGTGGCTCTGCACATTAAACCTGGTTCTGCAGAAGCTGCAGTGGAAATAAGAAGAAGCTGGCCTGTGTTCAGCAGAGTTACTTAGGCTTGTAGTTGGTTTCATGCAGGCAGAGCAGGATCAAATACTCAGGGAGCTGGTTTTACTCTGCCTTGCATTGCCTTCGACAAGCTTTGAAGTGAATTTTCAGAGTCCGAGGGAAACTTGAAAGTCCCAAGACAGGAGTGGAGATTGGTAATAGAGTGCAGACATTGTTTGCCAGGGCCGTGACAGGCTTTCATTTCCCTCTCTGGCTTTTCACCTCGCGTGGGGCATTTGTGAGAATAACACATGGATTTTCCCTCAAATTTCCAGTTTCTTGCTCACATTTCTCTTCAACTCAGCAGAGATTAGAGACACGTGTGATGGGATGTTAACCAACTGGCTGCATTTCTCTAGTTGTAGAGCAGCTTGTAACAGGGATTTTGGAAAGTGCATTTCATACAAAGCTGAGCCAAACAGCGTTCTCCTGTAACACTTTACTCTGCTGACCTGTTCTAGGTGGAGATGTGGGAGAAGATTTGGAAGGAGCTCCGTTGCTCAGAGAAGGGCAGCAGGCCAGAAGCCCCCATATTCCCTCTGGCTGACCCCCCAGCTGTTAAAGAGCTACTAAAAGCAGAGATTCAGTTGTTGCTGCTCACACTGAGGGAGAAGGCAGCCAGACAGGGCAGGTGAGGAACATTACTGTTAATACTCTACTGTTACACCGACAGACATCAAGCCTCAAACATGAATTAATATATATTAAAATTAACATGAACTATTATAACTCTGTGAGATTTTGGGTGGATATTTTTAGATATAATCTTTATATTCATTAAAGATTATTCAACAGTGTTAATTAATTATCTTTTTTTTTTAGCTTTGGATGATGGGTAATCTAAAAAAAAACTGATTCTGTTCAATTTATCATGCCTCACTACAATGCAGTAATGGTTTTATGTAACTATAATACTTATAATATTAACTGTAACTCATAGTCATTTTAAAAATGAACATTTTCAATAGATTCCAAATGAGATATTCCATTTGAAAATCTACAGCTGTTAAGTCTCCTTTAAGGATCCCATGTTATTATTGCTTTCCTTCACTTGACGAATGAATGTTCTGACCTTCATGAAGACCCCAAGTATTCTTTTCAGCGGACTGGGAGTGAGATCATAGGTCATGGCTTTGCTTTTGTAAAGTAGCATTGCTTTAAAGAATGCTTGCTGATAAATCATTGACTTTTAAAGATAAAGAGCAGACATAGGAACACATCACAAAAGGATTGTTTTAGTAAAATGAAGTGAATCAGTTACATCGGCAGTAAAGAATATGCTTGGTTTGTTTGACAGGTCACGTTCTGTTTGCCTTTAAATTTGTAGCAATTTATGATTACATTTCAATTTGTTGCCTGGTGGCTTGTCCTTCTAAGGGTTCTTTGTTACAACACAGGCTTTTTGTGGCGCCCTGTCTAATATTACAATGCACTGGGAAGAAGATATTTACAGGTACCAGTCAGGCAGGAGAAGCGATCTTCTCTTAGCAACCAGCTAGACAGTGAAAAGAATGTCTACACAAGGTCTTCTTTTGAAAGGTTTTTAATGTATCACTGTATCACAAAGAACACATTATTAGTGAGGATTTCATGGGTTAACAATTTACATTATTATTTTCAGAGGCTGTAGATCACTTTTTGGGCCGATTTATACTTCACTCTTAGAAGATAAAAGCTCTCTTTTCAGCCATGGCTTATCAGGAGCAGGTGTTTGGCAAGTACCAGTACAAACCAACAGAGAAAACACTTTAATTCATTCTCAAATTGCAAAACAAATTGGCTCTGTCACCCGGAAACAAATGTTGCATATGAGCGTTGGGGTGTAAACTTAAATTTTCAAGTTCAGCTTTTGTTTGTTTGTTACCAAATTTCTTTGGTGACGTCATTTATCTGTTGATCTGCTTTAAGAACAAATCTGGATTATACTTCCCTTTCATATTGCTCCAGGTTTGGAGATTTCCCGCCGCTCGATGATGGTCAAAGCAGGAAACCATTGACTCAATGGTGTTTTAATGCCTTAACATGGGCAAGAAAGCTTTTGAAAGGAATTGGTTTAATGGATCTAGTTAGTGCCACTTTTTCCCCCTCTCTGCCGATAGCCTCCCCTCCCCTGTGTGGTCCTTGTCTGCGTGATTTGTTGGGGCTGTATGGAGTCAAGCTGCACCTGTTTCTTTATGCTAAGTCTCCGTTCAATTGGCATTGAAAGAAAACCTTAGTTCATGTGTGAACTGCAAGTGGCTGAGACTTTAAAAGGAAGGTTCTTAAATCTCTAGAAAGTGATAACACAACAATCAGTGCAGGAAGGCTGGAAAGAGAAAGTTGTGTGCACTGTGCATTTCACATGTAGGTCATTTATCAATGCAGATGGAGGAGTGTTTTGAAAGGGCCTCTTTTTTACTTCGATACACTGAGGGATTTTTCTTTTCTCCTCTTTTTGATGTGGCGGCTCCTCTGTGCCATCTTTGTTGGCAGGAGTGGGTCTCCTCCCTCCTCTGTGAACACCGCTAAGCTGCTTACTGATCTGGACCCACAATGTAGCCTCTGTTCCTGTCAGGACGTCCCCTCAATATGAGCCGAGCAGAGATGGGCGTCAGACCTCTGCTTGTATCGCACGCATTCAGTCAGAGACGCTTGTTAACGTCTTCTGGATCTTTTCATCAGGCTACAAAAGTCCCACAAAGATGTAAACTGTATCCTGTCAGTGCTAAAGAAGAAAGCGGGGAAGATGTGAGCAGGGGTGTGCTGAAAGTGATACACAGCTTTACAGTCTGAATAATGACTGCGAGTGAGAAAGGACCATCTGCTTGCCTCATCTTTGTTGTATTTCTGGCTATTCAGATGTTTTCCTGTAATATAGCTCTTCTGCCTCATATGTTTGTATTAATAGTTTAAAAGGAAGTAGTTAAGAAGTTCTTGTTGTTTATAAAGGATATGGTTAATGATGGCTAAACTGAAGCTGTCAGTCTGCAATTGTTAACACATTTAAGCTTCAATTAAGATGTGTTGATTTAATGCATTTCCAAATGCAAACCTTTGTTTAGATTACAATAACATTTCAAAGTGGACTGTAACATCTAGTCCAAGCTTGATTTATGGTTAGAAAACTTGTCTGAGGATAAAAGGTCTTTGCTCCCTTGTTGAGTGTTCACTTGTGCCGTCATCCTCTCTCATGCACTCAGTAAGACGGTTTTAATATTGCTGCAAGGACTGAGGGAGCTAATTTATTTCTGACTAAAATATCAACATTCTGTTCTTACTATTTGAGATAATAAAAATCATTTTTTGAGAATAAAATAATAAAAATTATTTTATTTGAGATAATAAAAATTATATTTGTGATAGGCAATTATATATATACTATTTGAGATAAAAAAATTATTTGTGATAGGCAATTTTATATATATATATATATATATATATATATATATATATAGATAGATATAGATATAGATAGATAGATATTATAGAAATAGACATTTCTTTATTTATATCTATCATTTTGTATTCCTTTAGAAATAAAATTGTACCCCAAACAGTTTTCTTACAATAGAGTACTCTCACTTGTTCTATTTATTGTAGTGTTAGTATTTTTAAGGGCCAGAGGCAAAAGTTTATTATGCAAGTATGAATTGCTTGACTTTCTCAACAGTACAACAGTCTGCTGTATTATTAGTGCTGTGTTTTGAATGGACATATGAGGTCTTGAATAAATAATGTTATGTCTTCCAAGAAATTCTGAAGTCTTTTAAGTAAGTAAAACCAGCTTGCTAGGTCAGTGTTTCCCAAATGTATGTGTTGAAGGCACCCCTATAGCTCCATTAATAAAGCTTGACACAAAACCAGAAATGTGTTCCTTTCAATTGATATTATTTTGGATATAATTGAGCATCTTTGTTCATTTTTAGTGCACTCTTAAACAAGAAAAAAAATCAATACTTTGAAGAAAGAGACTCTCCAAATAGCTTCTCTACATAATGAGACACCTGAGCTATTTTGCCTTTCACGAGTTTCTTGAAAAAGACCTAACAGTGCATTTATTTATAAATTAAATCCAATTAAGTCAAAGTTTCTGTTTTATAATTTTAACAAGGCAAGTCACTGTTTGGGAGTCGCTGTGGTAGATGATCACAGTGAAACTGTGCTGGCACTGTCCACTTTCACCATTCTGCCATTCTCACTGTCAGTAAATGTGTCTCAGGGATGAAGAGGAGGTCATGGCCCAGTACAGTCCTAGTGTGGTGAGTTATGCACTGGGCAGCAGTAGCACACAGAGACAAGGGAGTCCAGGCAGCTGGTGTGAAACCAAATCACCTTCCAGACCCCCATCAAGTCTGAGCGAGACTAGAAGCAGGTTGGTGTTTCAGAAATATGTATCTGTGAGTGTACTTCTTCATGAATAATACTAATAAAATTGATTAATACTCTCTTCAGGTCAGTCTCCAGCCTCTCGTCTCACTCCAGCTTTGAAGAAGAAATCAAGGCCTTAAGACACAAGTTAAACATCACCCATATAGATGAGGTTGTGTCCCATCTCAGGTGAGGGCATGCACTCTCTTTAGTCAGTAACTGAACATTTGTGCACCTTTAAGGGAACTGTGGGAAGGGACACTATTCGAAGGGTCTCTTTACATGAATGTGAGGAACTGAATCACTTTACGAAGTGGTCACTTTAAGGAAGTAATGTTGCTGTCGGTGGTGCATTCTCACGGTTTATTTTAAAAAGTACTTTATCTTACCTGGGAGTTTAAAATGATCAGCTACTCAGACTTAATCAGCGGGAAATATTCCTTACATATTTGCATTTTTATCTATGGGGGCCATCAAAATAAAGTGTTTGCAAATATTGAGCAGACAGTAATTTGTCTAATGACTTGAATTACAGGTAGTTGACATGTAGTTGCAATTTAAGTTACTTACAGTTAATGAAATAAGCAACAACTACATGTCAACTACCTTTTTCTTTAATTATACTGACCTCAAACTTACAAACAAACTAACTTGGTTGCTACACTACCAGTCAAAAGTTTTTGAACAGTAAGATTAAAAAAAAATAAAAAATTATACACTATACCATTCAAAAGCTTGGAGAAATTAAACAAAATTAATACTTTTATTTTGCAAAGATTCTTTAAATTGATCAATAGTGATGATAAAGGCATTTTTAATGTTACATAAGATTTTTTTTATTTCAGATAAATGCTGTTCTTCTGAACTTTCTATTCATCAAAGACACCTGAAAAAAAATCTACTCAACTGTTTTCAACATCATAATAGTAAATGTTTTGTTGAGCAGCAAATCAGAATATTAGAATGATTTCTGAAAGATCACGTGACTGGAGTAATGATGCTAAAAATTTAGCTTTGAAATCACAGGAATAAAT